TCCTAGGAGATAGTGACATTGTAGAAGCTAAAACTGGTGATAAGTCTTGGTAAGGAGTAGCCTTGCTTCTGGTTTAGGGAAAACGGGAATGATGTGTGAAGATGTTTAAGACTACTTCTCGCACAGGAAGTGGTGCTGGCCTACTAAAGCATCTAAGGAGCAGCTGTGATGAGTGTGTCCCTTGAGGAGTTGTAAGCGGCGAGGAGAAGCAGACAGGCCAACCCAATATGGGTGATAAGCAACTTCTAGTTTATTTGTGACGCAGTTCACACATATATAGGAGTGGTATTCAGCCACTCCTTCTTGGCACAACAGTATTGGTTAGCCCCCACAGCTTCCTCCACATTCTCCTCCCAGGTCCGGTCTCCGGCCACCTGTGGGGGCCACCCCCTGCCTTGCTTGCACAGTCCTCCAGAACTCTATGGTTCTGCTCTTAGAGTCATTCTGCAACAATTCCCCCCTTTTTCTTTGTGCAAGCAAGGCATTATGGGTTATTCTGTTCACCTGTTTTATCACACAACTATAAACAAGTCTAATAGCTACGATGATTAACCTAATCAATGATACATAAGTGCAATACTTTTAAACAGTGTTTGACTCAACCTGTAATGCCCCGTGAAGACAACCATCTAGTTATTCTTAGGATATTGCTCATTTACTATTGCTGGGTAAGCTGAGCCAGGGTTCTCAGCTGTGTGTACATCGAATTAGCATAATCAGAGAGACTCATACAACACATTCCATCAAACTCTTCACATCCATGTCCCTGTTCCAACAACAAAAGGTTCTGCAGTGTTGCATGTCTTACAGAGTCAACATTAAAACAAATCAGGAATTGCCTTCGATGTAGAATTGTCTGCTTAGCAACTCAGCAACCCAGTCTGCTTAGTTGAGCCAAGGCCCCAGCTGAAGCACTTACAGTGATTTGGCATATTATGATTGGATACGTGTTTTGAAGACCCTTAGTGACTAACATATAATTGGTTAAACACAGGTGTGAGAACTCAACCTTGAAAGCTTGCCAACAGTCCACAGTTCTCATTAACTTGGTGAATTCCAGCCTCTTATCTTGCTTGCTTAAGCTTCTTCAGGCCTCTCATGGCCTTGCTGTATCTTTCAGGACTGTTCAAAGTTTATGTACCAATTATGCATTCTCCTGTGAGAACACTGTCTCCACATCTCCCCCCTTTTGTTTTATCCAGTAACAAGTCGCTACTACAGCAAGGCACACATTTACATTAGCAGAGTAACTATTACAGGGTGCAGCAGCATGTTAAGATGCTGATGGCAGTGAAGGACTAGCCAAAGAAATTTCTTACCAGTGGAATTCTCCCCCCCCTCTTAATTTGTTCTATCACCTGCTTTATAACACTACCATTGTATTAAAATTTTTCTAGCTTTTGCCTTAGCATTTTCTAGCAGCTACTGCAAATTTCCATACTCTAACATCTCTTTTACAAGTGACAAATCTATACAATACAAGGTGCAGTTTCTTATTAGCAACTAGCTAGTAAATACAGGTGGTTTTATACACAAAATCACAACCTCTAATATAGCTACTTTACAAGCACACATATTCAGGATGTTACTTTTCAGTTGTCCCCAATTGATGTTTTGCAGTTATTTGTTCTTTCTCTTCCTCTATCTCATTCTGCTTGGGGTAACCACGGTCAGCTCCTGTAGCTGAGGCATCAGGTTTATCCATTCGTCTGTCCAGCTCATGGCAGGGCTTCACAAACTTTGCAGTCGCCATGGACCTGTAGGCAGGAGGGCACAAATATACCCCCTCCCCCAGGTTATCAGTTCTTCAGAAGTAGACAGGCCCCCCCCCCCTTTTTTTTTTTTTTTTTTTTTTTTTTTTTTAGTCCCTGCAAAAGCCATCATTACTCCCACTACAGTCCCACGTACAGAACGTGGCACAAGGACCCTGTGGAGACTAACAGCAAACCAGCTCCGAGAAGCATCATTGCAGTGCAAGGTGGCAGGCTCAACCTTAGCGGGCGTCCCCGCAGAGGCTCTGCCTCCCCCCCATCGTATGAGGCTTGGGCTTTTATACTGACCAAAATGCACACTCATTCCGACACAGGTGGCCAACCTGTGCTGGAAGAAGTGGCCAGCAGCATCTACAGAGGTCTCCAAGGGTTGACAGAAACCTGGATACTTATATTTACCAACTTCTAGTACATGAGTATCACAGAGAGACTGTATGGGCTTCTCCCTGTCAATTGCAAGAAAAAATCATAATATATACAGCTTGAGTACAAGAGGATTTTAACGCATACGTGGTCACTGTTTGCCAGGCCTCCTTAACTGTTTTGAGATCAAGAGCTTCCCACTCTTTAGCCCCCTGCTGTGTAGTAAACACAGGATATGCAAAGATGCCCATTGCAGAAAATTCCCCAGTAATGTTCACCTCTTTGGTTACCCATTGTTACAACTGAGCGTCTCCAGGGCCCGTAAGTCTGAGCAGACCGACCCGGGGGACGGAGAGTCAGAGTCTGGAAGCAGAGGATATAAATCTGGCTCGGATTCAGGGGATTCGGGGGCTGATCCTGCGCCGAACTCGGGGTCTCCGTTGCTCGCAGCTGTGTCTTTCTTATCAGATGTCTCTCGTTCGGTATGTGGCCATCTGCAGACCTGGCTCCTCCGTGACTGAGTTAAAAATTTTTTCACTCTAGGGCGTAGTGGGTTGGAGAGGCTCGCGGTTCCTTTAAATCTCCCGCTCGCGCATGATCCCTATTTTTTTTTTTACTGCGTGCTTCACAGTGGCGCCGCAATCGATCCGGCGCCGAGGCACCGCCCTCTTTCTTTCGGATTTCTCGACATTTACCATGCGTATACCTTCTAATATACATTCTGTGTCCTTTTCACAGTCCCTACTTTCGGAACTGGGGTGGTGGGGGAGCAGGGGGTTACACCTCCTCCGCGGCACCTTCTGATGAAGGAGGGGGAGAAAAGGAAAGGGGGGGTGCGGGGTGGGAAACCCTGTGCTCCCGCGAGCTGGGGGGGGAACGAGTTATGATCTTCCCCCGGTTTCAACCGACCGGGGACGTCTGTTCCTAGTTTCTCCGTTGCTACCGCGGCAGTTTTCTTTTCTGCCTTGTATCTTTTTATACAGTTCATTACTTCCCTCCGTGGTTTACCGAGTTTCTTTGCCTTCTTATAATCATTAAGCACTGAGTCAAATAGTTCATCACCAAACTTTTGCCACTCACTCTTCTCAAATATTGTATTAGGATCTGCAAAAAAATCTCTTAGCCTTCCCTACAGGTAGTAGACCTGCTAGCTGCTTTAGAGTCTCAGGCTCAATTCCCCGCTTTTATAAAAAGCACTGTAATAAGTCCAGGGCTACCTCTCGGTCCATTTTCATGGCCAGCCTTTTCCGGATCGTCTTCTTCTGGGTCGTCTTGTAACCTCGGTCTCCGGATCGGCCTCCCGACGCAGCAGTGTCTGGTTCACCCCAGCGGCGGACTTTTTCGGTTAGTCGCAGCACCCGGGTCCGTCACGCCACCGCAGCAGCATTGCCCGCGCTGCCCGGCCGCTGCCGCCGGCGCCGCTCTCTCGCCGTTCCGGGTCCCCGTCGACCGGGGCCCTGTATCCCGGGTCCCTGCTAGTCGGGGCCCTGTATCCCGGGTCCCCGCTAGTCGGGGCCCTGTATCCCGGGTCCCCGTTAAACCGGGGCCCTGTATCCCGGGGCCCTGTCGGCCGGGGCCCTTTATCCGGGTCCCCGTCGACCGGGGCCCTGTATCCCGGGTCCCCGTCGACCGGGGCCCTGTATCCCGGGTCCCCGCTAGTCGGGGCCCTATATCCTGGGTCCCCGCTAGTCGGTGTCCTATAATCCGGGTCCCCAGCGACCAGGGCCCTGTAATCCGCGTCCCTGTTCGGGCGCCATTTGTAAGCGGCGAGGAGAAGCAGACAGGCCAACCCAATATGGGTGATAAGCAACTTCTACTTTATTTGTGACGCAGTTCACACATATATAGGAGTGGTATTCAGCCACTCCTTCTTGGCACAACAGTATTGGTTAGCCCCCACAGCTTCCTCCACATTCTCCTCCCAGGTCCGGTCTCCGGCCACCTGTTGGGGGCCACCCCCTGCCTTGCTTGCACAGTCCTCCAGAACTCTATGGTTCTGCTCTTAGAGTCATTCTGCAGCAAGGAGTGTTGAAAAAGATAAAGAAGTTTTTCAAGTGTTACATCAACATCAAATAGTGGTCAGAATATGTGAAGCAGTTTGGTAAACTGTAAGTGGGGGTGTTTGTTTTAGCCCTCTTTTAGGCCACTGACTAATATCTTTCACAGCCAATAGTAAATTCAGTGTATATGAAAAAAGGGTGATCATCTTGTTTTGAACTGGTAAGTGTGTTTTTAGATAATGATTTTGGTACATGTAGAAGATACTAATGTGTTTTTTTCACAGCTCAATGGGTATTATAAGTGTGCCCATCAGAAATTAAAACTTTAAACTAGTAGTATTTTATTTTGTAGTATTTTTTCTTCAAAAATGTACTTTGGCTTGGAGGAAGCAGCTCAAAGGGACCTCTCTTTCCTAATAGCAAATGAGCAGATGTAATGTACTTTAGCAAGTACATTTCAGGCATTGTAATCTACTGTAATCAATAGTTTTCTTAATACTATATGCCTTTGCACATGTATTTGTAGTTTATTGAAATACTTCCTTCCATCTTGCTGTTCACATCCCCACAATTTTTAGTCCCTTCATTAGTACCTATAAGTGATTGTTATGAAGTACTTTATATATAAGTAAAATAAATAATACTTTTTTTTTAAAAAAAGTCATTGAAACTGAATTTCCAATAGTTGATAATTTTTGTTATCCCCAGCTTTCTCTCACATCATAAGTGCTTTAGCTAAAAATAAAGTATGATGTTTGTTACCTGTTGATTATAATATGTCACCAGAATGGCATGAATTTCAGAGGTCCTTCTGTAAGTATGGATATTTACTCCGGATACGCTAATGCAACTTTGTGTATTTTGACATTGAGAACAGTATGTGTTATGGGAGCTAAACTTTCAGACAATGGCTTGGATATAGGCTGCAATGCTATGCATCTAACCAAAATTTTGAATACCACCCAGAAATAGGGAGTGTATTCATGGTAGAGCAGAAAGTAAGGATGTTCTGGTCTGGAGGAGTTTGCCCATAAAGAGGAGTACTGCATTTATTCCAAAGTAAGTGTAATAATTGTCCATAAGGACAGAAGACTTCCTAGCTGATCTTCACTCATGAAAGACAAGGATCCAGATTGCTAGCTGTTTACTGGAATATTTATAGCGTAACACTGAAATATGGTGAAACACAGCTGGTGGACCTGTGTTCAGGTATCAAAATCGCTTTCATACTCTGTACTTTGCAAGTTAGTGTGAATAGAATGTTTCTCAGAAAAGATTTTTCTTGATCTTTGAAAAGTCCTTACTTCCCACTTGTAAGCAGTCTTGGGAGTTGACAGAGGAAAGGAGTAGCTAATTGAATTGTAATAGAATAATTCATTTTTCCACTCCTGCTGTTATTTAACTCAGTGTTGGTAATGCATCACATCTCTTCATGTGGGAGAGTGGCTTACCAATTTCTTGCTTTTTAAGGTGAAGTAGGAGACGTTTGCCTGTCGTATATACAGTGTACAAAGTCTGAATGGCAGTATTTACGCAGATTTTGCAAATAGCAATATATTATCAAACAGAGGAAGCACATATTTTAACCCATGCACAGCTTTTGAAACTGTGAATATTCAGTACTAGAATTAGTACTCTTGGGCCTGTGAAACATTCTTTGCAGGTATGTTTTTTGTAGTTTACGTCCATATGGTTATAAGTGTTGTTTCACATATATTAAATTATCTATTCTTCCTCCCCATTTCTCCTTCCCCAAATAATTTTCTTTGGAGGATACAGGAGCAAAATTTAAGTATGGCCATTTAAGACCTTTCTGCCTGAAATACAATATGCATGCAGCTGTTGCATTTATCTCTACGTGCCTGTTTAATGCTCGGATAATATTTGTAGCAACTAATTGTATTTTGTGTGCTATAATTCAAGACCTAGTGGTTGCTCTCTAGTCTGTTGTACATAGAGAGGTGCGCAGAAACCTGTAATATATCTTACATGAGCATCTAGCTCTCTTTAGCTGATGTTTGATGTTGGCTTCTGTTGAAGTTGGGTCATCCCAGAGTTCATGAAATTCTTCTGAGTGCTAGGTCTTTTCATGTGAATATCCTGGAAATACTTGATTTTTATTCAGGTTGAACTGATTTGATAGTTTAACTTCTCCATCTTTGATTGTTGTGTACACAATTCACAATGGGATAGGTGATGTAAGTGCTAGTGTGCATGGGTGCTCCCCTCCCTGTTTCTGCCTCTGGAAAGGGGTAGTCAGCTGTGCAGCCTGTAGTTGTAAAAGAAGCGAGCTTTGGGATTTTTTTGTAAAGTACTAAAAGTACAAGAAAATAAGGCAAGTCACACTTTTTGAAAACTGTTTTCTTTCTTCCAGATCTTCAAAATTACCTGAATAGACTTAGTTGTGCCCCCGTGTATATTTGAAATATGCTTTTAAAATGCCTCCGAAAAAGCACTGGCCAAAAAACTGGCTGGTATAATGCAAGCAAAAGTGCTTGCTCTTTGAACTTGTAAATACTTTCAGTCTTAAGTAAGGCTGTAGCTTGTGGCTTACTGTTAAGTATATGCATACGTTCTTACAGAATGGTGATTTTAATCTTTTGATCAGAAAGGGTGATACTTAGGAAATCAGCAGTGAGTGTCTTAAGCTCTCAAGAGACCAAACTTGAGAACCTTCATATCAGGAAGTCAGTTGTGGTTATATGCAAATTAAAGAAGTAGCCAAGAGCTCCACAGCTGACATTCTTTTTCCATGGGTATTTGGAATTCACCTACATAGTGTGCAGTGTGGAGTAATTGAGAATTATACTGATAACCCTTTAACATCTGTTACTCCATGTGTATAAATAGGTGTGTTATTCACAAGGAATGTATCTTCATACTTGAATGTCTGTCCTGGATAAACAGTCATGCTCTTGTGTTTTGCTCAGGCTATAAACCTTCTGGATGTGTGTTTAACTTCTCCAGTATATGAAGCAAAGCCTTTCTTAAGGTATATGTCAGAGCTAGTAGATAACAGATAAGAAAATACAGAAAGGGAGAAGTTTGCCTATGGGACCTATGTATCACTGCCATTGCTGTTTTTGCAGCGAACCTCGTGTTTTGCCACTGTTCTGCTACATGATATTGAAATTCCTGAAATTATCAGATGTGGTTGTCTCATTGACAGCATTGAACTGTTGAAACAGTCTGCAGAAGCTATCAGAGAAATTGCAAAGTAATAACTTCTGAATGTGTTCATTATCTATGAAGCGTATGACCTTCTGTTGTTTACTATGGCAACTTAAATGTCATTACTGTTTGACTGTCTTGTGAATTTGTGTATTTTGCTTTCTACGCTATTATTAACATTTTTGTATGTTTTAATTCAATCTTGTGTGCATGTCCACACTTGCAGTACTAAAACTAGTTAACTAAATCTGAGTTTGACTAAAAGGCTCTTTCCCATTTCAGAGAAGGGTGGAGCTAAAGCTGATGTTTCAAATAAGATTTCTGGCTTCTAGGTCATCTAATTTACTTTAAAGAACTCCACCATGTAATTTAGGTATAATATTTGCTATGAATGCATTGTGTGTGAGTGAAAATTTGCTGTGTATCTCTTCAGTTGTACACTACAACTTCTTGTATGTAAACTGAATAGAATTAGGAGTTGAACAAGCAGCCTGAAAAATAAAGGACAAATAACATTTTGCAAATACTTATTTTTAGTAATTGCCAAATTGCCTTAATATATCTTTACGTATGTATAGGTTTTGCCTGATAGTAGCTTCCAGTCTACATCTGTTTAATAGATAAACATTGGAAAGTACTGTATAATTCATTTTTAATAAACATAAAACATATTATTGTAGGGAAAAAGATCTTGCAGATGCTTTAGAAGAAGGTGGCTGTGATCTTGAAACTGTGAGAAACATTATTCAAGGAAGACAACTGCCTGCTGATCTCAGGGCCAAAGTCTGGAAGGTAAATATTATCTTAAATCAAGAAACAGGAAATACTTGGAAGTTGTATTTGATTTGAGGTAAATTATTTAATTACTAGGCATCTCTATAAGAAGGGCTGTAGGACTGGAATTTTAATATGCATGTATATTGATTCAGTTTTAGAATATTCATCTTTATTGAGTTAAATTACCAAGTTCAGTAATCGGGTTAACTACAAAAGAACACTAAAATGTTTAGAGGGTTTTCTGTTTTTGTTTTCAGATTGCGCTAAATGTTGTAGGAAAGGGGGACAGCCTAGCATCCTGGGATGGCTCTTTAGACCTACCTGAACAGAGTATAATTCATAAGGATTGCCAAGAGCTAATTGGTAAGTTCAGTTATGTTTGGATCACCTATGTGAAAACTTCTGTATTCTCAGTTGTCTTAGGACTTTATTTCATTTAAATAATCTGAATTACATGTACATTTTGGAGGAAGCTTTCAGGAGGAAGATGAGAGAGCAGAGAAAATCAGTAAGAAATCATTAGAAAACAATAGCTTCCTATCTGCACTCTGACTCTGGGATGAGTGACATGGAAGTTTAGAGTGTTATCTTGTTAGTATGTATGGTCAGGAATCTTCAGGAGTTGAAAAATCTGTAATTTTTTTCCAAGCCCCATCTTTTAAACCAGACACTTTCTCTATAGTGTCCTTCAAGTTTTTAATTGTCTAATGACTGGTTCTTAATTTGAAAAGCAGATAGAATCGTTAGGGTTGGAAAGGACCTTAAGATCATCTAGTTCCAACCCCCCTGCCGTGGGCAGGGACAACTTACGCTAAATCGTATCACCCAAGGCCTTGTCCAACCTGACCTTGAACATTGCCAGGGATGGAGCATTCACAACCTCCCTGGGCAACCTATTCCAGTGCCTCACCACCCTAACAGGAAAGAATTTCCTCCTTATATCCAACCTAAACTTCCCCTGTTTAAGTTTTAACCCGTTACCCCTTGTCCTGTCACTACAGTCTCTAATGAAGAGTCCCTCCCCAGCATCCATATAGGCCCCCTTCAGATACTGGAAGGCTGCTGTAGGGTCTCCACGCAGCTTTCTCTTCTCCAGGCTGAACAGACACAGCTTTCTCAGCCTATCTTCATATGGGAGGTGCTCCAGTCCCCTGATCATCCTCGTGGCCCTTCTCTGGACTTGTTCCAACAGTTCCATGTCCTTTTTATGTTGAGGACACCAGAACTGCACACAATACTCCAGGTGAGGTCTCACAAGAGCAGAGTAGAGGGGCAGGATCACCTCCTTCAACCTGCTGGTCACGCTCCTTTTGATGCAGCCCAGGATACGGTTGGCTTTCTGGGCTGCAAGCGCACACTGCCTGCTCATGTTCATTTTCTCATCGGCCAGCACCCCCAAGTCCTTCTCTGCAGGGCTGCTGTGAATCTCTTCTCTGCCCAACCTGTAGCTGTGCCTGGGATTGCTCCGACCCAGGTGTAGGACCTTGCACTTGTCATGGTTAAACCTCATGAGGTTGGCATCAGCCCACCTCACCAGTGTGTCGAGGTCCCTCTGGATGGCATTCCTTCCCTCCAGGGTATCAACCAAACCACAGAGCTTGGTGTCATTGGCAAACTTGCTGAGGGCGCACTCAATCCCACTGTCAATGTCAGTGATGAAGATGTTAAACAAGACCGGTCCCACCACCGATCCCTGAGGGACACCACTCGTTACTGGGTGTAGCACCAAAATTCATATAACCTTGAAAGGAAGAAGTATACTAAACATTTTGGACTTTAAAGGCTATTTTTAAGGAGGGTATTTTTTTAATACCAATCCCAGCAAAAATGATAGGTTTTGGTTTTGAAAAGAGGATGCTGGCAAGACATATTTCAGTATGTCTGTAAGGATCTATCACAGAATCTGGTTGGCAGCCCATCACAAAAATGGCCAAATCCCTGATACCATGCAACAGCATTAATATCAGTGATGAAGTCAGTGCCAATTCCTAAATAAGGATACTACTTCTTCTGGCATCAGTAAGAGAATCTTTTTTTATTACCCATCATGCTTTAATTTATTCTTGCATAATAGAAAGTTAAGGCAGAGACTGGAGTTATTGCATGCATACATGTCTACACCTTTTAAAATGCAGTTCTGTGTTTTATAGCTCTAGAATGGGGTAATTCTAGAGAGAGGTGGATTCCCACTGTGTTGTTTAACCACAGTGCCTTTTCAGGAGTATGGAAAAATGTCCTGGTTAGTGCTTATAACATACAAAATTAAGCACTTCAGTGTCTGTTAGTTTTCCTTTTGTCTTTATTGGCAAATAACTTTGTAATACGTAACAATATTAAATGGATGAAACTAATAAAGTTAGTTCAGAATGAAGGTTCTGTAGAGATTTCAGTTTGGGGTTGGATTAAATCTTTGTTTCAGTGGTTTAGTAGTACGTAGCATCCAAATTCAAAGTAAATCTTCAGATGGCATTTGAGTTTTGTGTATTATTTTATTGTCCTGAGAGGCAGAGAAAAGGAAATGCCAGATATTGATTTGTTTTGGTGGGAAAGTATTAAAGACTTCTGAATTAAAAACTTTATTAAAAGTAGTGAGACTCATAGGCTTCTTGTAATTGAGGGGAGAAATGTTCACTGGAAGTTTAATGCCACTGTATTCATGTAGTGTAGGCATCTGTCTGTTCCAGACATAGCAAGGTTATTCCTTCTATTATGGTAAGTCAGTTTAGCTATAGTAAAATTGACATTATCAGGGGGGGTTAAAACATAATTTATTTATGCAATAATTTGTGAGAATATTTAATATTTGTCATTTAAAAATCTCAAGGTGTTCAAATATTAATGTGAAAATCCTATGAACTTACACTAAAGTCTGGTTTGTTTCACTACAGTCTGTATAATAAATATCAGTGCATTTAACTGAAAGTAAGCTAAGTAGTTATTACATCATATGAAGGAAGGCATAATTTGGTGTATGGTACTGACATTTTTTAGTATGCCTTTGATTCATTGCCTCAAGTGAGGTGGATGCCAGTACTTTTTCTGAAATGTTGTCAACCTTTTAAATAAAAGTCTATGTAGAAAGATGCTTTGGAACTAATTAAAACCTAAGCTTTGTGTATGTATTCAACTCAATGATGACAGTATTTAAGAAGTGTTTAGCTTGTTACCTTAATTACATAACTAGTTTTGTATCATTTTTTGGGTCAATCTTCATCCAAATGCAACAGTATAAATGAAGGGCTCAGAATTAGTTTGTCATTAAATAGGGGACATCTTTGCCAATAAACATATATTTTATGTAATGTTTATCTTCTGATTCGCAACACTACCAAATCAAATTTAAAATCTGGGTGTAGTTGTAAGTAATCAAATCCTTTCTCTTTTTCTAGTTACCCTAACAGCCCCAAGTTTAAAATATTGTTAGGGAAATTACAATGAAGTAGACATTAAAAATGTGTTTTATATGCTAATACTAAAATTTAAGTCTGTAAGATGACTTGATTTTGAACTACTGTTTTTCATAAATCAGCATGTCAGTGGATTTCTGGGGTATTGAAAGTATGCACTGTGGGTTGATCTATGTTGAATTCAAAGAGGTTGTTGTAGAGTCAAAGTTATGTGCTTAACACATCAAATAAAGGGGCATTCTCTGCATTAAAAGAATTCACCTCTTTTGTTTCATATAAATCCTGGCAACACCAAACTTCTTTCGTCGTGTTGTGATATTTAAATGCCTTATCATACTGGAGTTTTAAAAAGTCATTCGTATTTTAATGCCTTTTTGGAAGCCATTCTGTAAGCATTTAATTCAAGCTGATTAGGTTTTGTTGGTCTTTTTTTGCTGCTTTTTTTCTTTTTCCTTTTTTTTTTTTTTTTCCCCCAGGGAGCCCCTATTGGTACAATTGTGCTATGAAATAATCTCATTCAAGTTCTCTGAAAAGCTATTAATACAGTTTATATTGCTGTGCCTATTTCAGACCAGTTGTCAGTGCCAGAAGAGGAGAAGTCAGTACTACTTTTGGATATTGAGTCTGTTATTACTTTTTACTGTAAATCACGCAATGTTAAATACAGTTCTTGTCTCGGCTGGATTTATCTGCTCAAACCTCTGGTGCATCTTCATTTGACACGCAGTGATTTGTACAACTGCTTTTATGCTATCATGAATAAATTCATTCCAAGGTAAAGCTCTCTTTCTTTTGCTTAAGTACTGTTTTCACTGGCATTAAAGGTATTTTCTGAAAGAGTGTGCATGTTGGCCTCAGGTAGAATCACACTGTTAGTAGCAAAGTTGTCAGATCCCTTTATATGCTGATAAATTGAATCATTTTCAATACCTTACATTTTGAAGTCCAGGAGATAGTGAGTTGGTTTAAGATGTAAAGAGGTAGCATGTGACTGATGTAGACTCAATGTGCTTTTTGAAGAACAACTGTTGTTTCATGCAATATCAAAAGTAGTTGTTTAGGAACTGTCTAATTCTTGTATGTTATATGAAAGCAATTTTCTTTCTTTTCACAACATTTTCCTATGTAAAATGCTTCTGTCTCTGTCACTGCAAAGTATTTCATAAGTACTAATTAAGTCTCACAATTTCTTTAGAAGAAGTAGTTAATATTTTCCCTGTTTTCTACCGACTTGGGACTGATTATTTTTTTTTCTTTTTTAGGTTGTTAGATTGTTATTTTATGAATAAACAATGGAAATGGAGTGTCTCATGCTGTTGTATTTCACTAAAATATTTTTTTATTCATGTTGGAGTAGCACCACAACATTCCAGCAAGGCTACAGGGGCTTCTGGTTAAGACATTGTGAAATAATATATGGATAGTCTGTGATTAAAGGTCTTAGTATGAATCCTTGGAGAGGAGATTGTAGCCCAGCTACTGGATATGTGCCCATAATAGGGAAAGTGCACATTTGGTGCTGTGGCGGGAAGCGTTTATCTGTCCTGTCACTTGACTCATTTAAAATACTACTGGGCTCTGTGAACTGTTTGAGGGTAGTGGCATTATGATCACTGGCATTATGGTCAGGTAAATCTGACATCTGTATTTTTTAGAAGGCTTTCAAGAGTGTTTAGTATTTTGAGTTTCTCTGTAAGAATCTAGGTGGTGTTTCAGCAAGGTGTAGGCTGGTTTCTCTTCCCTCCCTCTGCAAAATGACTGGAAGCAAAAACGAAAGACATAGAAAAGCAATTTATAGTAGACTTGCAAATCTCCACTTAGGTCAATTTGATCTCAATGTGATGTTTGACTGCTGGACCATCACTACTATTTGATAAAAGTTTAATTTTTATTTTTTTGTTGGTTTTGTTTTTTAAATTGTACACTTCTTATTCGCACTTTCTCGTGTTTTGTAACTATCATGAAATATTTATTGGGAATTTATTCTAACAAAATGTTGAAAATAGGTGAGGGAAATGTACAGCATAATCTTTTGGACTTTTTTTTATTCTTTTTTTGAAAGAGACTCTCTAGCAAGACAAAGGAAGAATGAAGAGGGGAAAAAACATAATAGCTATTTTAGATGAGAGAGGATTTGCTTTTTTTTTTTTTTTTTCCTTTGGAAACACTGTTATTCTCAAGACTTTTGGTATAAAATATCCCGTGGATACCCACCTTTCTTCTCCTGCTTTTTCTCTACAATGGTGAGCTTTCTGAACTGTACAAAATTAAGAAAGAGTTAATATGGAAGTCCAAAGTCATTAGTATTCTTTGGACCATAAGTAGAAGAAAACACCATCTCACATATATAATTGAGCAATGATTTGTGCGAGAGCTTCTATGGTAGTAAACTAATTAAAAAGCTGCTGGATGATGGAAGTGTCTCCTCCCAGGGAGCACATGAGGAAAGTGCATTACATCTGCTTACATTACATCAGTGTTACCTGTAACAGAGGGTATAAAACAACTTCATTCAGTTAAAAAAAAACAAAACAAAAACCCAGAAGCAATTCTCCCCCAAAAAAACACCACCATCAAACCACCCTCTCCTAAAGTGAAATAAAGGTTAGTTTCCAGGGCAATTTACTTCTGTTTAGCAAAATCTCTCTCTCTTTTTTTTTTTTTTTGTGTGGTTGGTTTATTTTTTTTTTTTTCTGGCAGGGTGGGGGGTTGTTGTTGTTTTTTGTTTTGTTTTTGCTTTGCTTTTGTTTTTTATCAGTCCTTCCAGTGGCTGAGCCTGTTGCCTCTGTGAGGCTTTCAGCATTGGAAGTGATGGATAGGTACAGGAATTTGCAGTTCTAGATACTTGGAGGATTTTACTGTTTTTTTTTGGGGGGGGGGGGGCGGGGGTGGGAGGGGGGCTCGTTCTTGGTTGCTTGGTTCTTGTTTGCCTTGTTTTTAAACTGCGTATTTGTTACAGGTAGTTTACCGTGGTAGGTACCAGAAGTAAAAAACTGAGGAAAACAGTTCAGAAAAATGTCTAAGCAAGGATGTTCAACTGTCAGTGGAAATTCAGAAATATTCTTTTTAAGTTATTTTTGGGTATATATCTATTCTTCATGTTAGAAGGTGGTAAAGAATGACTGACTGACTGGAATAATTGACCATAATGGCCATTCAAACAAAGTAGTGTGCAAGTCTAGATACTTAGGCTGAATTTTCTTCTTTTCACACTTTAACACTTTTTGTCCTGTTAATTTAATGGGAAGTCAGAGTTCTTGTGATAATTTCAGAAAAGAATCCCCATATATAATTTGCTGTGAATGTTTCCATTTCACCACCCTTCTTTAAGAAAGATGATGACTGTGTTTGGAGATCTGTGTCTCAGTTTTCATGTTAGTTTGCTTAAGTTTTTAAGCGCTTGAGATTTGTTCCTAGTGTCTTTAAAAAGCCGTTTCTTCATTTCAAATACTGCTTATTTCCTGCTTAATGAATTGATATTTAATTGTTATGCATGTATGAAATAAGAAACTTTCATATTTCCTTTGGCTGCTGTATTACAATTATTTATATGGGGGGTTTAATTCTATTTTTAGTTAACAATATTGATACCATGCAACCCTTGCTTTCATATTTAGATCTGTTTAAAATACTTCTGTATTATATACTCTTGTCAAGTAATGGCAGTGTTCCATTCTTTCTTCTACTTTATTAATATAGTGGGGATTTCAGTCTTTGTGCGTTTTTGGTTTGGTTTTTAACTGTTGAGGCAAGTTGATTTCATGATCGGTCCTTGTGACTTACAAGAACAATATAGGAAATTACATAATCACAACCAATAAAGAATTACTACGGGAAGTCTGACAACTGAAATGTTATGGAGAGGTTTATGATTATTTTTACTGCTATTTTTTAGGGATTGTTCTATGAAGGGAAGACCATTTCATCTATTTAGACTGCTTCTTCAGTATCATGAGCCTGAACTCTGCTCCTTTCTTGATACTAAGAAGATGACTCCAGACTCATATGCACTCAACTGGGTAATAAAGTGAAAGTAGGGAAACGTAATGAATAAAAATTTCTGTTAAAATTTAAGTATATATTACCAGTTTGTGCAAGAGTAGTACAGGAGATTAGAACTGCAACTAATTTGCATGTTTTAATGTAGTGTGGGCTTTTTGTCTTCAGTCATTTAACATAAGGAATGAGGTCATGTTAAAGCCATATTTTTATGATTCTGGATGTTAATTGAGCCACTGATGTTAGTAACTACTTTGAATAAGTAAGAATGAGAGCAGATGACACACTCAAAAAGTAAGCAGCTGTGATGTTAGGTTTTATAGTGGTAAGCTGTATGGTTTTAGATATGGATAAACATGAGCCTAACAGGTCTTTTAAAGCTAAATTACAAATAGTTTTATAAACCTCCCTGCTAATAGATATATTTGAGTGCCTTATATGGTGCTATGGCTTTTAGGATATAGGCACATATATTTTGCAGCTCTTCATTTCCTCCTCACTGCCTCAAGTTGGGGTAGTTATAAAATTGCTTTACCTCAATTGTTTTTTATTATTTATTTTTTTATATTTTTTTTAACAAAGTTTGGATAGCAGCTACACCATAAAGCAGCAAAAGTTTCATGTTTTAATGCTCCTTAGTATATGCAATATAAAATGATACAGTGCTTGCAGAGGCAAAGTCTGTAAATAAATAAAGACTTTGACTCATGAACTTTTCTAGGCATTTTTTTCGTACCTGTTGGCTTTGTAAAATTTTTTGTAACTCCATGTACTTTCAGTTTAAGAAATAAGACTGAAATAAATGAATAAACTGCAAGATCCCTATTTGTGGGGTTTTTTATTATTGGTTTTGAGGTTTTTTTTTAAAGATTATTTTTTTAGGGTGCTACCAATATTAATATAAAAATGTCTCCAGGATCATCATGCCAATCATCAGCCTTTAAAAGAGGAATCTGTTCACTTTTACTACTGAATCTCTCCTTTCTATGTATATACAATTTTCCTTAGCGAATATGGACTTCTTTGAGGTCGTCTATTAAAAGTTCAGTGATTCAGTAGGATAAAAAAAAATCTTCCCCTTGAAAGGCAGGTAGGCAAATGAGCTAGTGCAGCTGCCAGACCACAGTGTCATGCTTTCTGGTGTACAATCTTAAATAAAAAATAAAAAAATCTTAAGCCTTGTTTTATGAGATTACATTAAAATTCCTTGTTTCATCTGCCAAAAAACTTAATTTATATAGAGGTATTTCTAGTGTGTAGCAAAACATAAGCAACATTCAGAGACTTGTCGTTGCCTCATTGTTCAGGGACATTTTGTCTTCAGTTGCGTTTCACTCAGATTTGGATAGATCTTCTTACCTTTTGTTATAGAAGTATACTAGGAAGTGCTGAAATATTCCATGATAGTGTTTAAAGCTTTTGAAAGCTGTAGCTCTTTTGATACAGAATTAGTATGCATCACCACATTCAGTAAGACCTCTGAAGCCAGCTAGTATGCGTTTGAGTTAGGTATGATTGCATATATTATCTGGCATGTATGAAAAGAAGTTCCTACCCTTTTTTATCCGCTTTGAACTCTGCGTATCAGAGAAGATGTATTTTTAATTGAGAACACGGGAACAGGCAAGCAGTTTATTAAATGGTAATGAAAATTTTCTACCACAAATGTTTAATTATTCAGCCATAAAGCATCATAATGTAAAGTTGAGCACGTGACATTGTCAAAACTAGTGTACCACCATGTTCAATTAGCTTGATTATACTGTGAAAAATAAAGAATGTTGTTTACAGGATCATTTCTAAGTCCTATTTGCTAAGCTAGTTGAATAAACGCATTTTTTTCTTATTGTCTCACTGGAATAGTTGGTATTTAGCAGTGGCTATGAGCTAAACTGTATTCCAGCCTAATTGTGTTATCTCTGGTTGAATTTGCAAGGCTGACAGTGTACATCTGAGTTTGCCTTCACACTGGGCATATTTATTGACAGATAATCTGTAGTATTACTGCAGTGTTTCCATAAAAATTGGTTTTGAGGGTAGGACCATCTTTCAATACATTGTGCAAATGTAAGGTTTAGCATAATGTTTTTGGCTTTATTTTATTTTAGATTATCTTCTATCTCTGTTTAAAATGTTATCCCAATAAGATTGTTCCTGGTTATTGCTTTTTCTCACACTATTTTCCGAATTTTTAGCTTGGAAGCCTCTTCTCATATTACTGTTCAGCAGAAGTCACTCAGGCAATATGGGATGGATATCTACAACAAGCAGATCCATTCTTTATTTATTTCTTAATGTTAATTATTCTTGTCAATGCAAAGTAAGTGTATAGTTAATTCTTTGGAACATTCCTTGCTGACACACTTTAATCCGCTTTTGTTTCATTTTGATTTTACTGACTTAATCTATGCCTCTGATTTCACTGTTTTCAGAGACGTTATCGTCGCACAAGAATCAGATAAAGAAGAAATGATAAGTAAGTACCTCTCTTATGTAATAGCTTCTCTTATTCAGCTGCTAGTGAAATATTTACCACATAGTACAATCTCCATTATTATTTTTAATTACTAAACGACTGAATTATTTATTTCCCTGTGATTTTTCTCATTAATGAAATCCCCTCACCTACTAATTCCTGTCTCACTATTCCTTTGCTGCACCACATTTACGCTTCCTTTAATATTCCTTTCTTGTGTTTCATTTTAGTATTCCCACATCTAGTTTTATGCTTCAGTTTGGAGCACTTGAATCTCTAAAGTACTAAAACTGTACAGATGTTAAGAGCATGGTAAAAGATAATCTTCATAGAAGGTTTGAACTTCTAGCAAATAGCACAGGTTTCCTATAGATAAGGAGTATTTCCTCTATCTTCTCTTTCTACCTGGAGAGTGAATTGACATTCATGTTTAATCAAAAAACTCAATTGTGTTATGCCTTGTTAAAAATTAAGTTATTTTATGATGTGAAAATAGGTATGGTGCTTCTTTTCTATGCATGAAATAATGGTGCACTTATGTTGTTTGTATATCTCAGAATTCTTAGAAACTTCACCAGCCAATCTTGATTTAGAAGATATAGAAGATCTCTTCTCTTTGGCACAATATTACTGTAGCAAAACTCCAGCTTCTTTCAGGAAGGTAATAAGAAAGTAGTTTTGAAATTCTTTTCTTTTTGGAGTCTGTTTAAGTTTCTGCTGACAATAACTTTAAATATTTAATTGTGATGTTATTTTAATTTCTTTTTTCATGTTACTCTGGTGGTATTTAGTATTAGGATCTTTGAAAGATAAGAAGGTCAAGTGAAACATGTTAGAGGGAAGCTTCCCCACAATATTCTCACTTTATGACTGATGACCTTGTTTTGCAAACCAGGTTCTTGTAAGAACTGATGAACCGAAAATGCCATACTGACACAACTGCTCTGTAGTAGACTGCACAGCAGTCCTAGCTGTACTTGGAACAGCAGTCAATTTCTAGAGATAAAGCAGCGATCATCTGTGCTATTCTTGCCGTTCTTCCTTACTCAAGATATCTGACTCCAGTGAATTCATTAAATGAAAGTAATTGATAGTTATTGTAATTTTATGTACTTTCTCTGATATGTAGACAGTTATATGAGATCTTTTGGGGGATGAAAAAAATAAAAAAAATAAAAACAACCAAAGAAACCCAAAAACCAGAGGTATTTCATCATGTTGGTATTGTCACTACCATGCTTGTGAACAAGTGTGTTTGTGATGGAAGGTCAGCCCTTGACATGATTTAAAAAAACTAAAAAAAATCAGTTGATATGATTTTGTGAAGTACATACATGTGTACCTGCTTTAGTATTTGTGACGTGGATATAGTTTTGCTTTAAGCCTTCACATCTAAAGACACTGGCTTCAGTTAACTTTTTTTTTCCTTGCCTTATTAGGACAACCACAGTCTTTTTGGCAGCAGCTTGCTGGGCCTCAAAGAGGATGACACAGACTTGAGCCAAGCTCTCTGTCTAGCAGTTTCTGTGTCAGAAATTCTTCAAGCAAATCAGCAGCAAGGAGTTAGTATATTGAATTACTATTACTCTTTCCTCTTCCCCTCCCTTCCTATTTGTGTATTAAAAAAAGATATATTTTCAGCGCTAATAGCATGCTTGAATATTTGCTATTTTAGGAAAAAGTATTCTTGTCTTGGAGTTGTCTCCCTTGTAAATGATCTGAATACTGCAATGCGTTTATACTGTAGTAACTAGAGCTAAAGTCCAAGAGCTTCATACAGCTGATTTGAATACGAGGAGTGGGAGCTTGAAGTAATATCTCACTAACTGGATTTCCTTTCCTAATGTAGTCATAGTAGAGGAAAATTTAAAACCCATTATTCATAGAATAGTTAGGGTTGGAAAGGACCTTAAGATCACCAAGTTCCAACCCTTCTGCCATGGGCAGGGACACCTCACAGTAAACCGTATCACCCAAGGCCTTGTCCAACCTGGTCCTGAACATTGCCAGGGATGGAGCATTCCCAACCTCCCTGGGCAACCTATTCCAGTGCCTCACCACCCTAACAGGAAAGAATTTCCTCCTTATATCCAATCTAAACTTCCCCTGTTTAAGTTTTAACCCGTTACCCCTTGTCCTATCACTACAGTCCCTAATGAAGAGTCCCTCCCCGGCATCCCTATAGGCCCCCTTCAGATGCTGGAAGGCTGCTATGAGGTCTCCACGCAGCCTTCTCTTCTCCAGGCTGAACAGCCCCAACTTTCTCAGCCTATCTTCATATGGGAGGTGCTCCAGTCCCCTGATCATCCATCATGGCCCTCCTCTGGAATTGTTCCAACAGTTCCATGTCCTTTTTATGTTGAGGACACCAGAACTGCACACAGATGAGGTCTCACAAGAGCAGAGTAAGGGGGCAGGATCACCTCCCTTGACCAGCTGGTCACGCTCCTTTTGGTGCAGCCCAGAATGCTTTCTGGGCTGCAAGCACACACTGCCAGCTCATGTTCATTTTCTCATCGGCCAGCACCCCCAAGTCCTTCTCCGCAGGGCTGCTGTGAATCTCTTCTCTGCCCAACCTGTAGCTGTGCCTGGGATTGCTCCAACCCAGGTGAAGGACCTTGCACTTGGCATGGTTAAACTTCATAAGGTTAGCATCAGCCCACCTCACAAGCGTGTCAAGGTCCCTCTGGATGGCATTCCTTCCCTCCAGGGTATCAACCAAACCACAGAGCTTGGTGTCATTGGCAAACTTGCTGAGGGCGCACTCAATCCCACTGTCCATGTCAGTGATAAATGATGTTGAACAAGACCGGTCCCAACACTGATCCCTGAGGGACACCACTCGTTACTGGTCTCCAGCTGGACCTTGAGCCATTGACCACAACTCTTTGCATGTGGCCATCCAGCCAGTTGTTTATCCACTGAGTGGTCCATCCATCAAATTCATGTCTCTTCAATTTAGAGACAAGGATGTCGTGTGGGACAGTGTCCAACACTTTGCACAAGTCCAGGTAGATGACATCATCTGCTCTACCCCTGTCCATCAGTTCTGTAGCCCCATCATAGAAGGCGACCAAATTGGTCAGGCAGGATTTCCCCTTCGTGAAGCCATGCTGGCTGTCACCAAGCACCTTGTTGATTTTCATGTGCCTTAGCATGACCTCCAGGAGAATCTGCTCCAAGATTTTGCCAGGCACAGAGGTGTGACTGACTGGGCTGTAATTCCCCAGGTCATCCATTTTCCCCTTCTTGAAAATGGGGGCTACATTTCCCTTTTTCCAGTCATTGGGAACTTCACCTGACTGCCATGATTTCTCAAATATGATGGCCAGTGGCTTAGCAACTTCATTCTCCAGCTCCTTCAGGACCCGCTGATGGATTTCATCAGGACCCATGCACTTGTGCATGTTCAGGTTCTTAAGATGGTCTTGAACCCGTTCCTCTCCTATAGTGGGCGCAGGTCTTCATTCTCACAGTCCCTGCATCTGCCTTTCAAGACTTGGGTGGTGTGCTCAGACTCTTTACCAGTGAAGACTGAGGCAAAGAAGTCATTAAGAACCTCAGCCTTCTCCAAATCCAGGGTAGCCAGCTCTCCTGAGAGCTTCTGGAGAGGGCCCACATTGTCCCTAGTCTGTCTTTTATTTGCAAAGTACCTACAGAACCGCTTCCTGTTACCTTTCAGATCCCTAGCCAAGTTTCATTCTTACTGGGCCTTAGCTTTCCTAACCTGGTCCCTAGCTTCCCGGACAGCATCCCTGTACTCTTCCCAGGCCACCTGTCTTTGCTTCCACCTTTTATAAGCCTCTTTTTTCATTTGAATTTTCCTCAGCAGCTCCTTATCCATCCGAAGAGGTCTCCTGGCCCTCCTGCTGCACTTCCTTCTAGTCAGGATGCAACACTCCTGAGTTTGCAGTAGGTAATCCTTGAATATTAGCAAACAGTCTTGGGCCCCCTGCCCTCTAGGGCTATATCCCATGGAACCTTACTAAGCAGGTTCCTGAAGAGACCAAAGTCTGCTCTCTCACTGTTGAGAGCAGTGACCTTCCTGCATACTCTTCTCACTGTCCTGAGGATTTCAAACTTCACCATCTGTCCTGGGTTCAGCAGTAGCAGTCATTTTTCTCCTTCTTGGTAGCTGGTGCAGTGCTGTGTTTTGACTTTCAGCCTAGGAACAGTGCTGGTGATACCGATGTTTTCGGTTGTTGCTAAGTGATATTTACCCTAACCAAGGACTTTATGAGGCTCATGCGCTGCCAGGGAGGAGGGGAAGCCGGGAGGAAGCAGAGACGGGGTGCCTGACCCAGGCTAGCCAAAGAGGTATTCCATGCCACAGCACGTCATGCAGGGGTGGTGAGGGGGTAACTGGGAGTTACCCAGAAGGACAAGAGCTTCTGGGTGGGACTCGTTTCCTGGCCCGTGGTATTGTATTCTCTTCCCTTGTTATTTTCTCTTACCATTGTTGTCGTTGGTGGTAGCGGTGGTGATTTGTGCTGTACATTGGTTGCTGGGCTGTTCTTGTCTCAACCCATGGGAGTTGCACTCTTTCGATCCTCCTCCCCATCCCCCTGGGAGCGGGGAAGGGAAGAGCCCCGGGGGAGGGGGCCTCGATTGCTCTCAGCCCGGCACCACTCACTGGGAGTGAGTGAACAAGCTGTCTGGCTAGGGTTTAAACCACGACACATCTTTTTGGCGCCCAACGTGGGGCTCGAGGGGTTGAGATAACGACAGATCTGGCCGGATTAATAGCCACTCGTCACAATGCTGATTTATTGGCTCTCAGAGTTGTTCCTCTTGATCTCACAGTTTCAGTATATCATACCTTACTTCCGTCCGGTATTTGCTGTATTAGTGTTTTTCAAGTGTGGGGCTTGGGCTAAGGTTTTTGTCTCATTGTACTTTATGGCAATGACTTGTAATACAATAGAATCATTGATCATGAAACTGATCTGGCTTATGTTCCCAGTGTGGTAACCACCTTTATACTTTGGGAGGTATATAATAGAAGTGCTTAGCAATTGCACATCTTTTTTCTCCTTCTCAGGTGGTCAACCTGTGAAGGAGACATCCTTTTACCCTCCCGGTCCTCCCCCCAGACCATTTACATTTGAGAGTTTTGAAATTTTTGAATGGCCTTTTAATGCTGTTGAGACTTATTTGCTGATCGTGATGGGGATCACCATGCTAGCACGCATACAGAGTGTGTTTTGCCCACAACTGATTTCAAGAGTTAAGCAGAGTCAGGTTTGGGTCTTGTCTGGGGTCAAACGATGATATAGGAGGACCAAGAGATTTTCCCTGAGGCTGGACAGTCATGAGTGGCAGGGTGTGTGGGATAGTATGGGCAAGTATCTAGGTCAGTGGGCCCCTCCAGTACTTTGGAATTTCACCACCGAACAACTGCAAAATCCAGAAGAAGTAGTAACACACTTAAATGAGGTGTGTGGTCATTCTGGCCATACCAGAGACGGACAAATCATGGCAATGTGCTGGGGCTTGGCCTATGCTTACAGGGCCTTGTTCAACACTATCCAGCACCTTCAAAAGGAAAAAGATGTCGGTGGATCTGAGGGCAAAGCAACAGTCAGCACAGCTACTCCAGCCCCAAGCACAGCAGCCTCACCACCCCCAGTGACAAGTACAGTCGCTACTCAAACTTTGGCTGCAGTGAACAGCGCAGCTACCCCAGTGGCAAGTACAGCAGCTGCTCAAACTTCGACTGCAACAGACAGCGTGGTTACCCCAGCTCCAAGCAGAGAAGCTACACCACCCCCAGCAACAAGCACAGTCGCTACTCAAACCGCAGTGATAATTACTGCAGCCAAACCAGAGGACCAATTCGTACCAATATCGGTTGCCCCTGTACGCAAGAGAAAAAGCAAAAAAGAGGCAAGAAGGGTGAAGCAAGGTGAAGAAACGGTGTATTCACCACCCGGTCTAGCATCTGATCAGGAGTCATCATCACATGACGAAGAAGAAGAGGTGACTTCTCGACCTCGGACCTCAACCGAGCTACGGAATATGCGAAAAGATTTTACCCGTCAACCAGGGGAGCACATCATCACCCGATTGCCCCGATGCTGGGACAATGGGGCCGATGGTCACGAACTAGAAGGTACAGAAGCCAAGCAGCTGGGATCACTTGCTAGAGAAGGGGGAATTGACAAAGCAATTGCAAGAGAGAAAAAGTCCCTCAGCCTTTGGAGGAGGCTCTTGGCAGCTGTGAAAGAAAGGTTTCCATACAAGGACGATGTTATGAGTCATTCAGCCAAGTGGACTACTACAGACAAAGGCATCCAGTCTCTGAGGGAATCAGCCATCGTAGAGATGATCTATCACATCAAGCCGAATAACGGGGATACACCCATAGGTCCAGATGAAGTTGAATGTACACAACCCATGTGGCGAAAACTCACACGGAATGCACCGTCATCATATGCCCATTCATTGGCAACGGTAACCTGGAATGACATAGTACCACTAACAGTGGATGAAATGGTTCATAAACTCCGAGAGTTCGAAGACAATCTCACCCCTTCCATCATCTCAGCTGTGGAAAAACTGT